CTCCTACCCGAATTATCTGAATCCGAATAAATCCGAACCGAATCCGATCTGAAATCCGAATGCCCAGGCATGATATGATATATGCAAAGAACATTTTTGCATGCTAGCTATTTCTTTCTTGGTATAGCACTTGGTGTTCAGTCACCGACTCGCGCGTACACATACAGGCCCGGCCCTTCACCCATTTTGGTGAATCATTTGTATTGGGTCTCAAATTTTCGAGGCTCATTTTGTGAAGAATTTTTTTTTTTTTTTTTTGAGGCCCTAAAATTATGAAATAGACTTCAAAATTAGTAAAAGAGGCCTCAAAAATTAACAAAAAAAAGCTTCAAAATAGTAAAAGAGGCCTCAAAAATTAACAAAAAAAGACTTCACAATTAGCAAAAAGGCCTCATAATTAGCAAAAAATCTTTAAAATTTAAGAAAAATTGTTAAATAAAAATTATAAATGCTCCATAATTAGCAAAAAAAAATTTTTTAGCAGTTTCTACTTTTAAAAAAAACCCCAATTTTTCTTTTCGTATTTGGCCCCGGATTTCACCGGACCGGCACTGCACACATACTAAAACTTAGGGCTATGCGCTGACTACTTTCAAGGGTGAATAATTTGTTTGCAAGAGTGTGCGGCAAACTACACCATGGATAAAACACTTGACCAAAGCACAGTTCCAAGTGATCCAACACGCAGAAAATTTGTTCTCTATAAGAATGAAGCATCATGCTGGTCTGTATTTACACCATAGTCCCAGTTACCACCGCCCTACCACGTGCGTTTTAATATCTATTTTGGCCTCAAGAATTTGCACGCCATCAAGTGGAAGAGACATGCCATTTAATTGTACATTAGATATGATCCCGTGGAAGCGAAATTCAAAAATGATATAATTTACATACATGATCGGTTTGACCGATAGTCGCTAACAATTGTTGTAAAAAAGGGCTAGCCATTGTGGTCAAGAGTGTAAAACGTTACCAATCAAACAAACAGAGAAAACAATGTCTTGTAAAAACGTGTTGATGTTGTTCTGGGAACACAATTAGTTCTGGTTAAGAGCTGCATGCAGATTTCTGAAAGAGCCATTAGTCTGGTTTTGAAAGGGTTTACTTTGGTTTAAGCTAAACGTGGTTGGAAAGTTCGAGAATATAATGGGTCTTATGGATCGGATTTTGTATCATTCATATCTTTGAGTCATTCTAACTCTTTGAAATGAAAAACATAGTAATTGCTAGATTGAACTAGTCGATGTACTAACTCTCGATTCAGAATTCGTAAAATATTTTGTATATCTTCTTCTCATTCTCTTCATCTCTCTCTTTTGAATTTTCAGTCAAAACATGGTTCCTGATACTTTCTTTGACTTGTAGTTCACGGTTTGGGTTATAATGTTTTGGTAAATCTATAAGTTTAATTTTGACGCATTTTGAGTTTTTGACACCTCTAATTATGTGTGTGTCTCACATATTTCGGTTTTATTTCTTAACTTTAATTTATTACCACTGATTTTATGTAAGAGATAAATTACTTATTGTTTGTATTTTTTGTACGAGTCATTTAGAGGGTTAAATATTTATGAATTTTTTTTTAATATATATCCCTCATATTTTATAAAATTTTATTACATGGTTCGTGAACCGTGACTACAGGGCCGGTTATTGGCATGTGCAAGTGGTGCATTTGCACCGGGTCCAACAAATTTAAGGTCCAAATTCATAGTTTTTTTATTATTTAATTATTTAATTATGCTGAAATTTTATACAATATCCATATGTAAAGGTCCCAAAATTTTATTTTAAAAGGTAATATTGAGCCCCAAAATTAATAAACAAAAATAACATGTCCAAATAGCTATAAAATACAAAATAATTTATGAAATATAACTTTTTGTAAATATATATATATATATATATATATAAATTTTTTATTAAAGATAAGATTTTTTTTTGTATGGCACCGGGTCTTACCGATGAGTGAGCCGGGCCTGCGTGACTATATAGATTTATTTTAAAATTCTAAGTTTCTGATTAAGCTCACAAAACTATATTTCCAACAGCACTACCACCAAAAGATTGAATTCGCATCTCATTCGATCAAAACCAAATTAAAAGTGTGTTTTACTAAAAAAGTTTTACCTTCTTAATTCTAAAAAATATAATCGTTCATAATGTCATGTCAGAAAATGAGCTACAAATCACACATAGCATGCAGAAGCGGAGCTAGGAGCCTAGGAGTGGTATTGTTCGTCACTTGTCACTCTTTTCCAACACCTAATCCCGACAACAACGTAAGAGAATCTCTCTCTCCATGACTCCACACACACTCATGCATTCTTACACGTGATTGCCATGCAAATCTCCTTTGTCACCTATAAATAAAAACCAACCCTTCACTACACTCTTCACTCAAACCAAAACAAGAAAACATACACAAATAGCAAAAAATGGCAAACAAGCTCTTCCTCGTCTGCGCAACTCTCGCCCTCTGCTTCCTCCTCACCAACGCTTCCATCTACCGCACAGTCGTCGAGTTCGAGGAAGATGACGCCACCAACCCCATGGGCCCAAGACAGAGATGCCAGAAGGAGTTCCAGCAATCACAGCACCTAAGAGCTTGCCAGAGATGGATGCAGAAGCAAACAAGGCAAGGTCGTGGCGATGAGTTCGATTTCGAAGACGACATGGAGAACCCACAGGGCCCCCAGCAGGGACACCAGCTACTCCAGCAGTGCTGCAACGAGCTTCGCCAGGAAGAGCCAGTTTGCGTTTGCCCCACCTTGAAACAGGCGGCTAGAGCTGTTAGACTCCAGGGACAGCACGGACCATTCGAATCCAGGAAAATTTACCAGACAGCTAAGTACTTGCCTAACGTTTGCAAAATCCAGCAAGTTGGTGAATGTCCCTTCCAGAGCACCATCCCTTTCTTCCCTCCTTACTACTAGATTCCAAGCCCTAGCACGATGATCATGAGTGTGGCTATTGATGTATGTTAATACTATACACAGTCATCGTGTGTGTTTTATAAAACTGTAAGCTTAGGATGTTTGAGGCTAATGTAATTAGCACTATACACCGTAATAAATGAGAGGTTTGTTTATCAAGTTCCAAATAAGGATCGAAAAAATGACTCAGGCAAGACTTATTCTCAACTGCCCAACGAAGATATGGCCCTTACCAATTTGGAATCTCTTTTTGGTGGCAAGAACGTATCTCATTCCCAATTCCTCGATGTAATTACTAAACTCATCTACTTAATTTCTTTTTATGCAACTACTTAACTAGCTTACTGATGTTGCCGTCCTATTAAACCAGTACTGGTCTCCTATTTACTAAAGCCTACTCTATGATTAGTAGATGCAAATTCATTCTGAATAAAAATAAAGAAAAAAGAATATATACATCGATTTCAAATTTAGATTTTATCAAATTAACCAATCGAACTAAACCGAAACCAAATTAAACCAGACAATACTTCAGGCCCGATCGAACTAGGAGATGTCATAACAAATACAGTATTGTTTATTAAAAAACTTATGAACAAAACAATATTGATTGACATGTCGCGGGAGCTAGTGATTTGGAAAAGTTTTAATTTCTTGTTCATCCAAAATAGCGATTTCTTGAAGTTATAATATTATACTAGATTTTAACCTGCGGTACATCGCGGGATGATTTAATTTTAAAGTTAGTATAAAAATATTTTGTAAATTGTATCTCCTTATAACATATTTATTTATATTATTGTTTACAATTGTTATTAAGTAACGGTATACCAAGAGTCCACGAGACAATTATTAATATACTAAGGATTTAACCCGTATTAAAGCGGTATATAAATATTGATTCAAATTCGTCCGCCATATAAATCTTTTCCGAAATATAACTCGTTCCGTAATTTCTCAACCCGTCCCGTTATTTGTTTTTATTTTAATATTTAATGATTATTTATTATATATAAAAGTTTACAAATCATATCATTCTCTAAGACATTTATATTTTAATAAACTGAAGATTTAATATGTATTAAAGCGGCATGTTAATGATATTTAAATTTTATAAATATTGTTATTAAGTAACATTATACCACGGGACAATTTTTGGTTTTATACAATCTTTTCTAAATGAGACTGATTTAATATGTCTAATATTGGTGGTATTAAAAAAAAGATTTAATCCGTATTGAAGCGGCAGATTAATGATATTTTAATTTTTTATTATTTGTTGATTCAAAAACCCGTCCCGCCAAACCCGTCTGGCTAAAAAACTCATTTATTTTATTAATGTTGATCTTATTTATGATATGATTCTGAATCATTATCTAAATATTTTAATCGATGTAGAACGTTGAACACACATTTTCGTCAATTAGATAATATATGTCCGTTTTAAAAATTTCGAATCACAGTATATGCAGAAAAAAAAATTGGTTTTTTTTTTACTTTTATGTATTCTATGATGATTCAAAACAGTTAAAAACAAATCAAACAAAGATAATAGGAGAATCATAATTCTAAATCTTAATCAAATCTTCTAAATATCTAAATTATTAAATATGAAATATCCGGTGTATGAGTTGGGTTAAATATAATCCGATCCAACAATTTTTTTGTGAAGGATTTTAAAAAACGGGTCGGATATCTGATTAACCCAGAAGCATTTTTACCCACCCGTCACCAAAGTGTTGCAAAAATGCTAGTATAAATATACAAAACATCACATTTAGACTATGCAAGTATGTATACTAACTCTTGTATATGCTAATAACTAATAACCAAAAATTATAGTTATTTGGACTTTTTTTTTGTTTTTTCATGATATAATAAGAGCATCTCCAAAGCAAGGTTTTCAAGTAAAAATTGTGGGGTTCTCTTGTTTAATTGCAATTAAAATAAATCAAAACTACTAAATAATCAAAGAACCGATTCTCTTGAGAGACATTTGAGAATCAGAGAGAGCCGCTGACGTGTCGTCGTGTGAGTCAATGCGTTTAATATGAAAGGAAACAAAAAAACGACGTTCGTGTTTTCTCTCTCTCTTCCTCCTCTCTTTCTCTCCCACTGCAAAAACAGAGGAGATTTGTGATCATGTCTCGATCATCATCATCCGCCGTCTCGATCATCAAATAATAAATTAGGTTTAGATTAAAGCTTTCCCCACTATCAATTTCTCCATGAAATTGGAAAACTTGCTTCGGGTGGTGTTTTGTTGTCTGCGTTAATCCTCCAATTTTGTGTGTGTAGATTTGCGCAATTAGTTGTCATAATTAGGGTTTTCGTTTTGTTGTTTCTGGGGTTCCTTAAGGTTTCATGGAATTTTTGTGTGTAGATATGTTTGTGAGGTGGGAATTTTAAGTTTACTATTTGCAAATTGATCTTGTGTAGCTTAGGTTGAAGATGATCAAACTGATTTTTGAAACTTGCTCAAACTAGTTTGGAGATGATACTCTTTGATATCATCACGCAAGATGCTATTTTTTCTCTCTTGGGTGTTCCATCATTTTAGAATTTGCTGGAAAAACGCTGGGTTTTGTTGTTGTAATCATATCTTTCAGCTGCTTCTGAAGTAGTCAAAAGAAAAGTTACTTTCTAGTGTTGAACAAGATCTTTAAGTGGGTGATAGTGTGAGTGTGTGCATCTTGCTTCTTGGGAAGAAGATCATGCCTTGATGGAGTAATCGAAAGGTAGTTTTTGTTTGATTCTAAATCATGAGAGCTTTATATGTATGAACCTATGTATAAAACATTGTGGTAAAACGTGGAAACTAACTTAGAAGCAGAGATACGATAACTTGCCTAGTTGTATGATAAGTACTTGATTGTAATGTTCTAGGTGTATTTGATTCAGTTTATTAACCTTAGAAGCATATACTGAGTTTAATGATGTTGCTGCTCTTGAATTAAGGTCTTTATTTCTGTTTGGAATCAGTTTCTTAATTGTGAACTCCACTAATCCACTAATCTAAATAACAGGTTTGGCAATGCTAGGTTAAACTCCTATGGTCTGCCCTGAGAACAACCAACTTCAAGCTTCACGTTTTGGTACAAAGGATCGGAACAACGTTAACAACGGAAAGAGAGGGAGAGTGATGACGGAGGCAACGACGGTAGCTATACATTCGATTTTCCAATGATGTCTCAGCCGCAGCAACACAGTTCGTTTCAGATGATTGAAGGATCAATGGTTGGAGGAGGAGGAATGAGAGGAAAGAGAGGGAGAGTGATGACGAAGGCAATGGATAAAGCTGCAGCTCAAAGACAGAAGAGGATGATCAAGAACCGTGAATCCGCTGCTAGGTCTCGAGAGAGGAAACAAGCTTATCAAGTTGAGTTAGAGACTTTGGCTGCGAAATTAGAGGAAGGGAATGAGAAGCTTTTGAAGGAGATTGAAGAGAGCACTAAAGAGAGATTCAAGAAGCTCATGGACGTTTTGATTCCGTTTTCTAAACGTTTGTAGCCTAACAATTTTGTTGGTTGTTGAGAAATTAGAAAGTGTGGTTGGTTGTGTTTGATTAGGTTGTTGAATCAATATATAGTTTTTGAATGTGAATTGTTTATGCTAATGTGCTTTATTTCTCTCTGTTTTTGTTGAGTATAAATGGAGAACTGCAAATGGAGAAGCCAAGAGGAGAAAGGCAGTGGAGAAGGCAAGTTCAATGTTGCTTGTGAATTGTCTATGCTATTAAATTTGAACGTGCTTTGTTTTGAATGTGTTTTTGATGTAGAAGACACCAAATCTGTCTTGTATAGGCCAAGTAGGAGACAAGACACTCAAATCAAAATATGTGTAGATCATGAATCTCTGTTTTGCATTTGACAAGTTTAATATGTGTAGATCATGAATCTATTTTTTGCATTTGACAAGTTTTTGATGTGATTATGAACTCTTGAAACACCAAACACTAATTACACCAATTACTTTGTCCTAATTCATCAAATTACATCAAAACCAAACATCATATTACATCAAAATCAAAATATTTTAAAAAAAAAAAATTTTAAGAACCCCACAAGAGAAACTACCATTAGACTATGAAAATTAAAAAAAAAAACCCCAAGTTCTCATCTAAAAATTCAAAAAAAAATATGTTTAAACAATTGGTGAGAGCCCATGGGGGACTCTCACCATTGGAGATGCTCTTAATATGTGCAACTTTCGGAGACTAGGTGTTGTCCATGACTTGTCACACCTCCAATTTGAGTTTCCAACACCTAATCGCGAAAACAACCTTTTATTGCTGTGCATGCATTCGCTCACATAACACATAATCAAATTGGAGGTGTTTTCGCGCTCACATAACACATAATCACATGCATGAAATGTTTTATTTTTTTATTGCTGTGCATGCATTCATACACGTGATCTCCATGCCAAACTCCTCACTTGTCCATAAATACCCATAACCCCTTCATTTCACTCTTCACTCAAACAAAAAATATACCTAAGTTAGTAGCAAAAAATGGCGAACAAACTCGTCCTCGTCTGCACATCTCTCGCTCTCTGCTTCCTCCTCACCAACGCTTCCATCTACCGCACTGTCGTCGAACTATGACGCCAGCAACCCCATAGGCCCAAGACAGAAATGTCAGAGGGAGTTTCAGAAAGAACAACACCTTAGAGCTTGCCAGCGATTGATGCGCAAGCAAATGAGACAAGGCCATGGTGGTGGTCCTTCCCTCGACGATGAGTTCGATTAGGAAGACGACATCGAGAACCCGCAGAGACCCTCGCTACTCCAGAAGTGCTGCAGCGAGCTTCGCCAGAAGACCCAGATTGCGTTTGCCCCACCTTGAAACAAGCTGCCAAGGCCGTTAGACTCCAGGGACAGCAGCACCAACCAATGAAAGTCAGGAAAATTTACCAGACAGCTAAGAACTTGCCTAACATTTGCAAAATCCCGCAAGTTGATGTTTGCCCCTTCCAGATCCCTTCATTCCCTTCTTACTACTAAATTCCAAACAAAACCCTCAAAAAGCCTATGAGTGTGGTTGTTGATACACGTTAACACCACGTCTCATCTTGTGTTTTTATGAAAATGTTAGCTTTGGAATGTTTGAGGCTAATGTATTTAGCAGTAATATATAAATAAGAGGTTGAGTTTGTTTATGTTCTGTATTCGTTTCTTTTGCTGTTCTAGCTAGCGTTCCCTAAAAACTGAAAAGTGATGCCGGCTAAATTAATAAAATTAAATAAAAATTCATCGATTCGAAATGTAGGATAAAATAAAAACAATTAGTCAATCTAAAAAGTGATGACTTTTTCTTAATGCGCTAAAAAAACATTAGTCAAATTAAACGAACGAGAAATATGATGCATGTGTAATTAAGACTTCAAGCTCAATATTAAAATTTTTAAATCATCCAATTTTGTTTTTGGTGAAGGAAGTTGTGGATCTAATAAAGGTCGGAAGGAATTGTCCGTTGTAGAATCGTCTATGTAACAGTTCTCATAATTTGCAATAAATAATAAATCCAGCCGACAAAAAAAAAAAAAAAAAACCATCCATTTGCCCAACGAATATATATCTTTTGATGACTACGGGCCACCTATATATCTGTCGATCTCATGTAACTACTAGATTCCGGCAACCACTTATTTTTTTTCCTTATTTTCCTTTCTTATTAGACCTAAATTCATTATGGTTAGTAGAATTAATATTCATTCAGAACAAAATGAATGATAATGTATGCTTAAAATGAACGATAATGGTGATATTTGTTGATGCATGTTGTTGTGCTGATAGCTGCAGCCGCGGCAATGCTCAAATAGCCGTGATAACGTTTAAGAAATATTTACTCAGATGTTAATCAAAAGTTCGAATATTACTAGAATATTATACATTTTCTAAAAATTACTCATATGTTTTGAGCATTTGTGTAATTACAATTAACACCCTTCATTAGTTTTTTTTTTAATTAATAATTTTTAATTCGTTTTTAATTAAAAATAATAAATAAAAATTTGATTATCCATGTCATTAATCCACATCACCAATCTCACACTCCTCAAACTCACGTTATTTCTCCTCTTCTCTTTTTTGTCTCCAAATCAAAGAAAAGCTTTTAGATCATTTCTCCTCTTCTCTTTTTTTTTGTCTTCAAATCCAAGAAAAGCTTTTAGATCTAATAATCTGCAACTAACTTGGGTACAACATTGACAGAGATCTTCAAATTGCAGGATTGGGCTGGATCTTCCTAGACCTCACAGCCACAACGCTTGCCATAGGGTCCCAAATCAAAAGCTTCGTCAGATCTACTCGCAACCACGCTTACGAAAAAAGTCATCAAAAATCAAAACCCAAAACAAAGAGATCTATGGAATTCTACATGATTCGTTACAGGTTTGAGTTGAAATCAAGAATAGCTACTCTTTTACTTTGATTTTACATGTCTCTCGTTTAATCTTCCTCTCAATCGATCTATTTGGAGACATTTCTACTTCTATCTATGTTTTGATTCATACGGTTTAGTCTTTCTCCTATGTATCCCTCAAACATATTTTTACGAATCTTAATTTGATTGTTGTTATTTGACCAATAAATTTCATATTGTCTTCTCCAAAAAAATGTTGCTTTCCGATCTGTATTATAAATCAGCCGTAAAGTGATGTAACTCAGCCGTAACGTGATGTAACTCAGCCATAACATATAATTTACACAACCTTTCGTCTTCCCTGAATGATAACTCAGCCGTGACATGTAATTTACCAAAACTTTCGTCTTCCCTGAAGCATATAACTCACCCGTAACATATAATTTACACCCATCTATCGTCTTCCCTGGAGAATATAACTCAGCCGTGACATGTAAATTTACCGAACCTTTCGTCTTCCCTTAAACATATAACTCAGCCGTAATGTAATTTTACCGAACCTTTCGTCTTCCCTGGAACATATAACTCAGCTGTGACATGTAAATTGACCGAACTTTTCGTCTTTCCTTAAGCATATAACTCAGCCGTAATGTAATTTTACCGAACCTTTCGTCTTCCCTGGAACATATAACTCAGCTGTGACATGTAAATTGATCGAACCTTTCGTCTTCCCTTAAGCATATAACTCAGCCGTGACATGTAAATTTGCAGCGAAACAATAAGAGACGCAACATTTCCTCTAACTTTATCATCGAGCACCAACTTCACAAGTTTTTCGTGCGTTGTTTTCGCATCTATCTGCACAACTCTACACCCTCTTTCATCGGTGTTAAATACGTATTTATGTTTTTATACCCAATTACCGGAACCGGATCAACCATATCGGGAGAAGGATGAAAGAAATTGAAGAAGAATGAGAAAGACGATGAGGAATTGGAAGTTCCGGTGATGTGATAAACTCAGGTGAAGAAGACGAGTTGAAAAAATTTGGCCCTATTTTTTTGTCCTTTGATGATGATGACATGGAATGATGACATGGAATGTTGCATCCACGTCATTTTTTAATTGATGAAGTGGCAAGTAAGCCACCAAACGAAAATGTAAATCAGCTTAATTAAACCAGCCATCAAACAAAACTTTAACTCAGCCGCAACATGAATACTATTACAGTAATTAAAAAACGAAAAAACGGCAGCCAAATTCAGCCGTTTACTGTCGTAACTCAACCAAAAATATTTAACTCAGTCGTGTCGTTTAATAAGTCGGCCGTCATTGCATGCTATTCTAGTAATTAATCTTTCGCTACTAAGTCAGCCATAATAAGGCCGAGTTTTCCGTTAATCCAGCTCATTACGGCTGATTTATGATACTCGAACATAAATCAGCCGTAACGTCATCCCATAACTAAGCCGTCTTTGATAACTCAGCCAGCCGGAGAAAGTTAAGTCAGCCGTGTCGAAGCAATAACTCAGCCAAAAATTTGACAAATCAACCATCGGGTGAAAACTCAGCCGTAACTTAGGCTGGGTTATGCTCGAAAGTCAGCCATTTTATCATAACTCAGACAGATTTCAGTAAGTCAGCCGTAACTCCAGGCTGGGTTATACTCGTAAGTCAGCCGTTTGCTCATAACTCAGCCTTTTTTCTTAAATCAGCCGCAACATACCGTAACTCAGCCGTCACTGCCGCTATATCGCTCGACGGCTGAGTTCATTAATACACGTCAGCGATTTCTGACGTGGCGACGCGGCTTTGCTGACGTGGCAGTGGCATTCTTTATAATTACGTTTTTTTCTGTAACGTTTAACAGAGGCACGCTGGGTATAAAAAATATACCCGAATTATGATAGTAATAAAAAAAAAATTTGTATGTTTCTGGTAATTTCATATAAAATGTATAACATCTGAGTAAATCTCCCTTAATGAAATGATGCGGTTAATGGTCTCAGAACATTATGATTTTTTCAACACACTAATCCTTCTGATCCAAGACAAGAGTAAAAGATAACAGACCCTTAAAGGCTAATACAAGCTATATACAGATTTAGCACCAACATCAAGTAGTGACCGCATTTGGGTATAAACATAACTTTATTTGTCTGGCTTCCGAGGAGAATTCTCATCCAAGGCTCAAGCGATAATCTAATGGCCTGGCGTTAACATGACGGTGTGCGGTTCCGATCTCACAAGCATTCACTCTTGCTGCAAATCTGAGGGAGCACAGAGACTCACCGGTTGAGGAAGGTTCTGGTGTGATGTTCACAAACATTAGCGTCTTGGAGTCGCCACCTAAACAGGGCTGTTCATAGAATTTCATAAAGTTTCATCACAACACAGAATCTTTGAGCTTCTGTTCAAATGATGATTTTAAATGCTTACCTGAAGAAGATAAGTGAGCTTTGAGTTTCTGAAAGGAACGTGGTCTTCTTTCTTCGCTAAGGCGAATATGACATCGCCTAGAGACGATAAGCTTTTGTTGATTGCCTTTCAGTAAGAAGAAAATAATCATTAAGCCTAATATTAAATCTTTCTTTGTGTCTCTAAAAAATGTATGTATTCAATTTCGCAGACATTACTTGAGTTTCTTTCAGTCTATCACCAGTTGATCCGCTCTTTGATAAACGCTCACTACCCGCAAGATCAATCAGGTTCAAGACACCTTGTACTTGTTGCTCTGTGCTCTGTAAATAAAAAAATAAGATAACCCCAGTGTTGGGTTAGCAGAAACAAACACCAGACTATCAAATGTTGTTGTTGCAGTAAGAAACCCAATTAGTACCTCGTTAAATCCAGAGATCTTTAATGTGAAAACGAAATGGCTTCTAGATGATTGCTCGTTCATCGCGGTCTTCCCAACTGACCTGAAAAAAAATAAAGACACAGTTTGATTCATTAGCAGCTTTCGGTTTTTCTAATAAAGGAATCATTGCCAATCTTCAAAACAGATACTTGCCTGTTTCGAGCTGCGTGGTCTAAGAGGAACGAAACCTGTTTCGAGCTTCGAACATCTACAACAGTAAGTTCCACAACATGTGTGTTCCCACTAGCATCATGTTTGATTGCATATTTCTGAGGAGAAACGCCATTGTCTGCTCTCACAGTTTCCTTGTTTGTTGACAAGAGATCCCGAATTGTTTCGTTGTATATTTCCAACATAGACACCTATACGATAGATATAGGTATAGACCAATCAATAATACTATGAATGTTACATCATCCATTTCTAAGTCTCTAGGAGGTTTGTTACCTGCAACTCATACTTCCAACCCTGTGATCGAAGAGACTGCCTCGTTTGAAATATTTGCTCCAAACATCGAGGAATCAGTCCTTTTTCATCCGGGTTTCCTGGCCTACCCATCATTGTATAAGTTTTTCCAGATCCCGTTTGTCCATATGCAAAAATGCAAACCTGAAAATTGAGTAATAGCACCTTTAGTCCTAGAAGATGCAGTGAAACATAACATTACTCATCATTCACGTGCTTTTTATTGAGCGGTTAGACAGTATTACCAAAATATACGGTGTGAATTCGAGGAATAGATTAATGAAGACATAAGCAAACAGTGAGTTAAACTAAGCTAAAGCAGATAGTACCTTGTAACCGTCAAGAGCACTCTGGACAAGTTGAGAAATCTCTACAAAAACATCTTCTTGTGATGCACTTGGTACAAAAACCTTATCAAATGTAAAACAATGCGATTGCCCTGGCCAGAGCAAACAACAGATGAGTCTCTT